TTAATGGGGGGGGGGGGCACTAACTTGGATTGCTGTTCAAGATCGTGGATTCTTCTTACTACCTGCTGAAAGTGCTCAATGGGAGAGCGGCATCTTCCAGAACATAACCATAACATTCTCCCTGTGTTCTGGCATGGATGCAAGCCAAATGGCACAGTCAAACTTCTCAGAGCCGTGTCTGCTGGAACCGAGCTAGCGGATGTTATCAATGAAACACAATCGGCTGAACTTAACATGAAGAATGAGATCAAGCATATTCTTCGAGCGAGGGTGGGGGCTGATGTTGAGATTCAACCTGTCATCCCCGGCATGTGCCCTGTATCTATGTGAGTGAGTGAGCGAGAATAAAGTGGTGTCTGTCTTTGTGTTAGTGTTTGCTGGCTCGGGAGTCGACGTGTGACAAGACACACTCTTTTGTTCATCACGACTCAACTCCAATACCCACATCGTGTAAGCCAAATTGACTTCACCAGTCATATCCCTCTCTCTCAACAGTTGTCATGATTCATTCGCACTTACAGCGATAGCAATGTCTAGCTAGATAGTCGTGTCTATCAACGGTTTTGAGAACTTACCATCACCATCGTCGTCACCATGGCTATTGTCAAATCGCCTGGCAACCATCAACGAGCTCGGCGCCGCTGACACAAAGAACGAGACCAAGCCCAGCAGTGATCTTCGTCGCCCAGAGATCGGTGTTCCCGACGACGGAGTACGGTAATAGTATAGACACTACAGCTATCTGGTTTGTACTCGTCACCTGGACAACTTTGGCACTGGCTAGATGGTTCGTCGATGTGGCGCTTATATGCTCAACACCAACCGCTTTCGGATATCTTGAATTCCAGTCAAATTCTTAACTACCTGCAAGCACCACGACCGCACAAACATATGGTTTTTTCGTCCGTTTTCCGGTTTCCAACGCTCAGAAACTCGTTATTCTGATCCGACGTGTTATTCTTATCTTTCCCATCTTACCGCGACCTCGACCTCTGAGTTCGGTTCTCACAACCCAAACCCTCAACCATCACTTACAACTCACCTCGTGTTGCGGAACCAACTATCGACTTGTTGTCGTACCAATCAATTTACGGAGCGACTCAGAAGTGTCTCTCTTTGCCCCTCCTTGCCTGGGGAGACCACTGAAGACACTCGTGCGTCACGGCTCTTGGGCTTTTTGTACTACAAGGCCACAGTCCACGCCTAAGACTGACCACGAGGAGCTGAACTGAAAACTGAATTGACAACGAATTATCACGGGTAACAACATATTGCCATATTGGCCACACAAACCTTGACCACGCCACGCGCGCCGCCGCTCTCAGTCCGGACTCTTATATTGTAACGCCCCGGAACAGCCTCTGTCCACTCGGCCTCTAGAACTTGAGCCCAACCCCCGGATACGAAGGTGCCTTCGCCCTGGCTTTACAGCACAATACTTTCCATTGCCATGGCTGCTTTATTGCCCCGAGCAATTCATGCAACCACTTCTTCGCCCTGGCCTTCACGAACATCATCGCTACCCATGTCATCACGCAAGGAGACCTGCCGCATCTCGGTCGCTGGAACAGGAACAGGAATAGGAGCGAGCTCGCCTGAATGGCTCCCTCAGAACATTTCGGAAACATTGCCTGCTCTGCCTTATACTTCCACCGAATGGTCCAGAGTGATTGCCGACGTCAAGGGAGAATTCGTCAGCCGTTGCTACCATCCTTGTGCAACTCGGTGTAGCGAGATCTTGGACAATCTCAAGGATTCTGTAAGCTTACTTGAAAATGGCCATATGAAGCAAATCTCTAACGTTACACAGAGCATGGTTGAGCCAGCATATCTCATTTACCTTCACTTTTATGCCGCCAACTCACTCGAGATGCTCGCCCGGGCACTTGATCAAGCCGCTCCAGCACGTGTGACTCTCTTCTACCAGGCTCGCGACCATTATCAACGAGCTTCGACGCTCATCAACGCCGCCGATTCAACTGTCGGTCCAGCTTTGCTACGAAGACCGTCTGGGACTATGACAACACTCCCCAGCCTCCACTCCGCTGACAGCTCTGTGAGCTCATATGTGTCATCCACATGGACTTCGTCTCACAGCTTATCTCCTGCATCGTCAATCTCATCTATTCAGAGCACACCTACCTCCAAGCGAAAGAAGAAGCGTGTGACATTCAGCGATGTCCCTGTGGAACTTCTCGAGCGTCCCGATTCACCAACGCTCGGCCTTGGTAGCTTCCTGGGACCTGCTCGCTCATCATCACCGGAATTAACTGGGAACTATTCCACTGTACCAGCACTTAGGGCTTCGTCACAGCCTCCTCGGTCAATTCTCACGCCACGCTCCACACAGAATGAGGCTGCACCGTATATCGACTCAGAGCTCGATCCCTTCCGGCATGCTCGGTCAGTGCATCGTTATAGTGCTCTCCTTACCAGCCTACAACAACAGGTTTTCCGACACCTCAACTTCATCGAGGCGGAGCTGGGCCGGCAGCAAACCTATATACCAGAGGAAGAAACGCCGCCATCACCGAGCACATCGATCATGGCCCCAACTACGCCGGGTACACCAAATGCCGACAAGACGCGCTCACCAGAGCTTCAGGCACGGATAGAACGGCTAAGGGCAAAGGGATGGGAGCGTAAGCGGTTTGATGCGCGACGATATGCTGAGCTACGCGAAAGTGCTGCAGCAGACATGGAATAGACACCATCTCGAGACTGCTACCGAAACACGGGTGTATGAGGAAGAAAAGGTCGTATTGTTTTCTACCATGTATGTATGTTGATAAGACTTGAATGATACCACGAAGAGGGACAAGTAATATGTCCCAGGGTTACGCTTGACGCGTCGGTTAGGAATATATAATGAAGGCATTAGGATAGGCATAATGAAGACTGGCTCTTCAGATTATGACAGAAAAAGAAGGATTGTTATTGACTAAGTAGGATGATACCACTTCTATAGAGCACATACAGGTTTTAATAAGATCAAATTGGAATTTACTTTACTGCATGCGGTGATTAACTTGTCACTTTTTCCCTAGCCGCGCTGCTTGAAATCAATTAAGTCGCTTCAACCATACCAATAAGACATACATGCGTTTGGCCAAGTTGCCCGCTCCCCCTTTCGAACTTCCCATGTCTCTAGCATTTCCATCCTTTCCTCTCGAACAGATTGCCGTCTTGACATTTCAGTAAAGCCATATGCTCATATGCACACCCACACAGAGCAATATTCTTGCAATTTGCAATGACTGCATATCTCGCTCTTAAGCCTGGAAACTGCGACGCTTGACATCTTTTTCGACTTCCTGGGTAACACGGAGAACCTCCTTCTCCTCTTTGTCGTCCGCGAGCTTCGCCCTGGCGACCTCGGAGAAGATAGCCGACAGATCCGAATCGTCGGGGTTTTCTTCCATACTCTTGAGCTTTTCGATACGAGCCTGGAGCTTGATCTTCTCGATAATGCGCCTGAATCGGCTTCTGGCACGGAACGACTTGATCTCGGGCAACAAGTTGTAGTCGGTGGCGTTCTCTCCAGTAAGCCAGATGTGGCCCAATGCTTCCTGCGGTACCAAGTTAATCAATGGACGATGTTATGATGATGGCTATAACTTACCTCACTGGTCCAACGCTGGTCGGGATCGGGGTTGATAAGCTTCAGGATGAAGTCCTTGGCATCGTTACTGACGTCCTTCCAGTAGCGTTCATGGAAGACGACAGAGTTGTCAGTGCATTCCCGGATCAGATCCTGAAGATTCTCGCTTCGGAAAGGGGAGTAACCGCAGAGCAAGGTGTAAGTAATGACACCCATAGACCACATGTCTACGGGCTTTCCATGACCCTCCTTGCGCATCACCTCGGGGGCAGCATAACCGAAAGAGCCAGCCATGGTTTTGAGGGATTCTCCCTTTCCGTCAAGCATCTTTGCAATACCGAAGTCGGCCAACACGAGGTCGGAATCGGGGTCTCTGTTGAGGTAGAGAAGGTTCTCAGGCTTGAGATCTGCAAAATCTCAGTTGAAGAGTCATAATATGATTCGTCGCGGAAACGTACCTCTGTGAACAATGTTGTTCTTGTGGAGGAAGTCGACAGCAAGAAGGACTTGTTTAATGGTCTCAGCGGCATCCTTCTCGGTGAACTTGCCCTGTTCACAGATACGGTCGAAAAGCTCGCCGCCCGTAGCGAGCTGTGTAACAATGTAGAATTTATCCTAGAGAGCCGACAGATAAGCTACAGCACATTCGAAAGGTGCAGGGAGGAGCACTGGACTGAGCCAGGGACCGAAGTCGGCTGGTTAAGCAAGCGCAAGCGGGGATTGTTTTAGGTATCGGGATGAGCTTACCCTCGATTCGAACCAGTCGACGAACTTGACGATGTGAGGATGCTTAAGCTTCTGCAACATCTCAAGCTCGTCGTAGACCATCTGCTCGTTGCCCTTGACGTTTCGCTTGAGGATAATCTTCACAGCGACCTTGCCGGTCGGGCCATCGGCCTCACGAACGACTCCATATGTTCCAGCACCGAGGGTTCGACCGAACTTGTATTTGGCTCTGTAGTGAAAGGTATTGTTAGGATATTAAGATTTGGTAGTTGAATATGGAGGGGATTTCGAATCGCGTACTTCTTATCGTAACTCTCGGGTTGGCCATGAAGCCTATTGAGCATGCCGGCGACTAGAGAGGAAGCCATGGTCAGCAAATGGTGAAAAGCGTATGTTTTTGAGTAAGATGACGACAAGACGTCTACAAGCCCGAGACGACACGGAGAGCGGAGGGCGAGGGGGATTGAGGCTGAGAATAGTCGCAACTTACAACTCATGGTGGCAGTTGGCGGGGTAGTCAGATAAGTGACCCGTTAGGTTTTGGAGACGGCTGAAGTCCAAGAATCTGGACGGAGGGGAAAGCGAAGGAATACTGGGTCTGTGTCTCGTCTTCCAAACGAAGAATATAAAGCAGCGCGACAATCAAGTCCCAGGCGCAAGGAGTGCTATAGCCTTGGAATGAGTGAGAATGACGCCTTGAGAATTCCTATCGAGGGGAGGAGTGGTTTTGTAAGATGTGAGGAGAAAGACTGGAAGACGAGGCAGTCAGTCCTTGTTAATTGAACTTGCGACGACCAAGCTGATTCCATTAGCTTATGGCACCTAGTCTACCTGCCCGCTGCCCGCAGGTACCTGTTAGAAGCTAGCTGGAGGGAGGGGTCCTCTACTGACTGGCTGACAGCCCAGGGCAGAGAGCGCCGTATTCATCCTGCCCGACCCTGGGCTGGGGGAGCTTAGCGCTAGCCGGGGTCATGGAGGCGGCTATGGCAGCCCTGGTTGGTTGCATGTGTGGTGTGGCTCAGCCCTGGGTATCAGCAAAATTGGCCGTCAAGAGCATAAGATGAGATGAGATGATGTGGGTCGGAAGCTTCGCTGGGTCCATCAGCTGGATGCTGACAGGGAACTGGAGATACGCTGTAATACCGGCAACCTCCATTAGATTGCCTAGGTATGCATATTATATTGGATCGTAGGTGAGGCTGAGCCGTAAGTGGAGTGGATCATTTCTGTTACAGGTCCTTTTCCCTTCAATTTTCGCTTAGGTACCTTAGGTAGGTTGACAGAGTGGCTGAGCACCTAGACAATGAGCACTGATATGGAACCACCCCAAGAATAACCGCAACATCGCGATTAATATGTCTTTTCTCGAGGATAGGATGCCTCTTGATTCCATCATCCAACCCTATGAGACCACTTACAATGCTGCGTACTGCTCAATTTTACTTCACAATTAATAACGGACAGACAGATATCTCCCGATAGAGACTTGGGGAGGCCTCAGCTATTCATGATGTCTAGGAACAATCAGCCATGGCAGATGCATTGTCGTTAATCCAGTCTTGGGATCCAGGCGGAGAAGCTACCTCGATACTCCCTTGGCAGTTCGAGGTTGTCTGCGATCCGTCAAGATAGAAGGATTGTCTTTCCAAGATGATCACGTTGCATGGCACTGCGTCAGGGAGATCTCGTTCAATTCTGCAACGATCAGAAGCTTATCGAATACACTACAATCCCAGATGGTGCATACTGTAACTGGTATAGCAAATAGTAAGTAGCAGAAAGGTTATGCTCCAAGGCTTCAGACGTCAAAATAAAGTAGTCAAACTGTAGAGCTACACTGGCATAAAGTAGTGCCTCTAAAGTGAGACTAAGGAAGTCATTAAACAAGTCATCTTCATCTACAGGCTAGGCATATAATCATAAGAATCCGGATCATGGTATGAAGTGCAAGTAAATCGATGCCACTATTCGTCCAATAGCACAACACGAATGAAATTATGGGTCTAGCTCAGTCAACTTCCGCCCATAATTCTTGTACTTGTTGTCGATCTCAAGGATCATGATGCTCGGGGCTGTTCAAACCAGCAAGCAGGTGAAGGCTGACTCGATGACTTTATTGATATGTTATGTTTAAACGGGCTAAGAAACTTGATTGGCTCATGTATAAAAGTAAAAAACACCACACTCGTGCAGTTGCTATGAGAGAAATGTCCGGTTCCAGCAAGCCATGAACCAATCACAACAAATCGTGAGGCTTGTTCTTAGATGGGGGGTCATCCATTGTGGGCGCAGCACCGCAAACAGCCCCTCCTTGGCTTGGTGTTTGTCTGTTCCACCAACAATTCATTCATTCAGCCAACCTTCGACCTCTCTTCTACCCGCAACTTGGTCCTCCGCCACGTCTTCTCATACATACCGCGCTACCTAACAAAGTTTCAACTCTAGCAAGAGCACAACTGCACATCATTTACCATGGCTGGAGCCACGCGGGATAGGCGCTTGGTCAAGGAGCTGGGCAAGGTAAGTTCTATTCAATTCCCTGGTCCTTTCATGCAATAAATCGACGATACATCCTTGCATGGACTTGGACTTCTATCGACTGACTTTATTCCCCGCAGATTCACATGGATGGAATGCCTCCCGGCATCACATTGATAGAGCGCAACGACAGCGTTGCCGGCGACTGGTTCGTTGACATCCAGGTGCTCGACGAAAATCCTCTTTATAAAGATCAGATCTACCGCCTCAAGTTCCACTTCCCCAAGATGTATCCCATAGGTTTGTCTAACGGTCCCATGCGTCCATCATTTTCTCTAGTCAAGATGCTGATCAATCTACAGAACCCCCGGAAGTTACCTTCGACAAACAAACCGACCGTCCGATCCCCATGCACCCTCACATATACTCCAACGGCATTATCTGTCTCGATTTGCTTGGCCAACAGGGCTGGAGTCCGGTTCAGAGCGTCTCCAGTGTCTGCATGAGCATCCAAAGCATGTTGACGAGTAACGACAAGGACGAGCGACCTCCAGGCGATGAGGACTTTGTACGAGGTAATAGACAGCGACCTCGAGACATAGAGTTTCTCTACCACGACAACACCGTGTAAACCCATGGAATGACCGTACGAAACCGGCCTATGCGGAGAAAGGGATAGTGGATATTAATAGCATTCGTTTGGCGTTTGGAACAACCATCTGGTGGCTAAAGGAGGCCGTGTTATGGGATACAGGAACACGGCTGTTGGGGATGCATATTTGTAGACTGGAGCCTGTGCATAAGCATCTTAAAAGCCCGCGTGGTGTAAACATCACGGAGAGAGCACAAAGGTATCCCTACCGAGTACTTGAGGCTTTGTATTAGATCAGAGCTGCTTATTATGACTATGAAAACTCGTTAGACAAATATCTGACTACAAAGCTAGGGGTCTAGCTCCCATATGAGATGGTTCGAGTGATCATCTGAACCAGTAGTCAGCGAGATGTTTGAGCAAGTCATGGCATATAAACTTGGTATATGACTAACAAAAACTACTGTGCTTAAGGCAAAGTCTCGCGGATTATTCTATGTATTTCGTTTCCAAGCCCAGCGAGCAGTAAACTCTGTGTTTATGAAGCTATTCACAGATGAACATGTATGATAGGCCCCACATGTTGAGAGCTGAGAGGTGCCTAGCGCTCTGCATTGTCCCCACTTTACTGCCGTCATCTGCAGCCTCCAGTTCAGTGTGGATGAAGCTCCAGCTCCAGCTCCAATTACCTGTACCTCATTCATCCATTCTCAGCAACTAGCTGAGCTCACTCACTTCCGGTCCTTTTCATCCCTTCTCTCCGATTTCGCTAGCTGCGTTGAGTCGCGCAAATGGCTCCTCGCATAGAGTTCAGTATCGAGCAGATTCGAAATAAGGCTCGCAAAGACCTCTTGTATCTGCTTGAAGGTGTATGTTCCCACCGCCTTGCCCCGCGACAGTTATCTTAACCATACATGTCCTGTCGCGACCCCAACTTACGCTTCGTTTTCTACCCAGGTTCGTGGAAAGAAGAACGTTATCCTCGATCAGAGCCTTGTCGGCCCAATCGGAACCATAGTCAAGGTTGCAACTCTTCAAGAATATGGCGTGGACAAGTTCTTCATTCTAGAAAATGACAACGCCGACACAAGCCAGCGCAATGTTGTCTTCATCTCTCGCGGCGAATGTGGTCGTCATGCCGAGGCTATAGCAGGTTTGTTGACGCCCTCACAGCCTAGAAATTGTAACCTGACCTTGACCTAGCCCAAATCAAGCGCATTCAGCGCGAAAGCCAGACAGGGCACGACTTCCACATCTTTTGGGTTCCACGCCGAACCCTTGTATCCGATAAACTACTTGAAGAGGCCGGGGTATTGGGCGATGTCAATATCTCCGAACTTCCACTGTCCTTTTTTCCTCTAGAGAAAGATGTCTTGTCTTTGGAGCTCGACGACTCATTTCGCGACTTGTACCTCTCCAAGGATGTTACACCCAACTTCCTCATGGCGAAGGCTCTCATGGAGATACAGCAAAATCACGGTCTCTTCCCCCGCGTTATAGGCAAGGGTGATAATGCAAAACGAGTTGCAGAACTCCTTTCGCGTATGCGCCAGGAGCTTCTTGCGGGTGAAGATACAGCAGAAGCAAACAAGATTGGGCTTACGCCTAGCACCACAAATGAGAGCGTCATTATCATTGATCGCGAGGTTGATTTTGTTACACCATTACTCACTCAACTCACATATGAAGGTCTCATAGATGAGGTCTTCGAGATTCACAATAACCAAACCAAGGTTGACACAACTGTTGTGGGTGCCCCTGCGCAAGCCTCAACTGCGACCTCGCAAAGCCGCAAACGAACCATCCAGTTAGACTCGGCCGATAAGCTTTACGAACAGCTGCGAGATGCCAACTTTGCAATCGTCGGCAATTTACTCAACAAGGCTGCCAGGAGACTGCAGAAGGTGCAAAGCGACTACGAAAGCAAACACAAAACCAAGACTATTGCGGAGCTCAGAGACTTTGTCAGCCAACTACCCGGATATCAACAAGAGCAACAAAGCGTAAAGATACACACAGGCCTAGTCGAAGAGATCATAAAACACACCAGGACAGACGAATTCAAGGGGCTTCTGGAAGTCCAACAAAACCTCGCCGCAGGTGCCGACCCATCAAGCCAGTCCGATGGAATTGAGGAGTTGATATCACGAGACGCTCCGATAGCGCAGACCATGAGATTGTTGTGCATTTATTCATGTATATCTGGGGGCATCAGACCGAAGGAATTCGATCAATTTAAGCGTCTCATCTTACAAGGCTACGGCTATCAGCATCTTCTTACACTCAGTAACCTTGAGAAATTGCAGCTTTTCCTCTCAAAATCGTCGCCCCTGGCCGGGATGATACCCATCCCAGGTACTAATGTCGGGGCCGTTACGACAGGTAGCAAAACGAACTACACCTATCTGCGCAAGCAGCTCCGTCTCATTGTCGACGAAGTCCAGGAGGATGATCCCAATGACGTATCGTATGTGTATAGCGGTTACGCTCCTCTCTCTATTCGCCTGGTCCAATGTATCTTGCAGAAGCAATATCTACTCTCTGTGACAAAAGGAAACAGCGCGAGCACTGCAGGAGCACCACCAGGTGTCGGTACGCAAGGTTGGCAGGGATTCGACGAAGCTGTCAAACATGTCCGTGGTCAGACGTTCTATGAACACCAGAAGGGTGAAGACAAGGCAGTCAAAGCACGAGCTCTGCTGTCCGGCAGCGGTAATAAGCAGACTGTTTTTGTTGTCTTTGTCGGCGGAATTACTTTCACGGAGATCGCCGCCCTCAGATTTATTGCCAAGCAGGAAGAAGGTAAGCGGTTCCACGACACTGACTTTTCTTGTGATAATCTTGAATCTGACTTAGACTCTTCAGGACGACGAAATATTGTCATTTGTACGACATCGATCATCAACGGGAATAAGATGATGGAGGCAGCGATCGAGAAACAATCGTTCGCGAAAGAGAGCGTACCTGTTTCAACAACTTGAAGTTAGCATCTATAACAATACTTAGAATATCGTCAGCTGGGTGGCTGCTGATATGGCGTATCTTATGTCGGCGCATGAATTAGAATGAAGAACAGATAACAAATGCCAGGACGCAGGCCTCCGCATCAATAAGGTAGTCGGTGCTGACAAAATTAATACATTGGAGGTTCAGTAGAGACAAAACAAAGCTCATTGTAAGAGTCGAGGTTTGAATTGTCGTCGGAATGAGCATTAGACCCACTAGTACAGTGCTTCTGATTCGATCAGAGCGTCGCACGTGATTGATTTGAAGGCGGCTTTCCATATTCTGAGGGGCTGAATGGCTGACGATCGAAGGCAAGTTCCTCTTATACAAAAGAGCCGATAGATGGCGAGTTACTCGTCAAATCGGAACAATTTTCGTTGAATCAACAATGGGCTAGACTTCTCCACCGAATCGATATCGAGAAGAGCATGTTGTTGTAACAAGTCTATGAACTACAAATCCTTTCCACTACCCCAGTCATTGATTGATTCTTTGATATCGAACGAGTACTGCTCTTCACAAACCAATTGCAGTAGGTCACTTTCATACATGGCTGCCGTGATTTCATTTGCAAGTTAACTAATCTCACCCAGTAGCCTGTTCAATTTCTTTCATAACTCTCAGATAATGCGACTTTCCTCATTCGTTTCACTCACCTTTCACGGTTCTTAATAGTACGCTTCGTCGCGCCACACAAACCTTGCTACAGCTACAAACCAATACCTGGAAGAAGTCTTTGAATCAACGCAGCTATGGGGCCAGACTTTGGACAAAGTTTCCGCAAGGGAATTGGTTTTCGAAAGAGGGATATTGACGAGGGAGACGTCATTGACTCACTGCCGCCGTCGGACACCATCATCATGTCAAACCTTCCAGGTCGAATATCACCTCCTATCACACCTGACGTTGTTTCGGTTCCTCAATCACGGCAGACCTCGACAGAAATAGCATCTGAGATTGCGCCAGAAATCGTGGTGTGGACTGAAGACATGGATATCGACAATGTTAGTCACGTTGAGTCTGACGATGAACTATCAAGTCTCAAGAGCGATTTCGAGTGAGTAGTATACTGCGTCAATTCTACGCACTCACCTAGCAGGCTCTGCCATTCGGCTTCAATAAGTTTCTGACTCTCGTTAGGGAAGAGCCACCTCAAGTCGATGATGAACTAGACCCAGTGCAGGCGGCCACTGGTGGTGATACTGTCGGCTCCTTCCCCTCATCGTTATCGAACCTCACAGAGCTATCAGACCTCTCATCGATACCATCGACGGTATCGAGTAAGGCTACTACCCCTACACCAGTCGAGGCTGAGGGCTCACCAGACCAAGAACAACCAGTTGACGAGCAACCCCCCTCTCATCAAGATTCTCCGTCCCACGAGACCGAGCGCTACAACTTCAATATCAGACCAAAGGCCTCAATACCGGCCGATATCTCGCCCTACAGGTATGCGTCAGAATGTATCTCAGCCGCCGAGTCAAGTCGACTTAATCCTTACACCTTGCATCCCGAGGAATATCACCTCCTTCGTCATCATATATCGTATACACAGGTCACGACATACCTCAATATAAGAAATGGTATTCTGCGATTGTGGCTTAAGCGCCCTTGGATCGGCGTGACACGACTAGAAGCAGTCGGATGTGCAAATGCTCGTTGGTTCGATGCGGCCAGTGTTTGCTACGATTGGCTTGTTCGGCGTGGTTATATCAACTACGGATGCGTGCGGATCTCAGAAACCGAAACAGAAGACAGCATTGCTCCGGTAGTCAAAAGACAAAAGACGATTGCTGTCATAGGTGCTGGATTCTCCGGTCTTGGCTGCGCTAGGCAACTGGAGGGTTTGTTCAAACAGTTTGCTGATCGGTTCCATGAGCGGGGAGAGCCGCCGCCTCGAGTAGTGGTACTGGAAGGACGAAGTCGTGTTGGAGGACGGGTATATTCTCGCGAATTTCACACCAAACCAAAAGCACCCAAACCAGTTTTTGAGGGCAAGCGACACACTGCTGAAATGGGTGGCATGATCATTACCGGATTTGATCGGGGAAACCCCATTAACATTCTACTTCGGGGTCAGCTCAGCCTACCATATCATGCCCTGACGGCAGACACTACGATATATGACAGCAATGGGAGAGCAGTCGACCCTGTGCGGGATCAACTGGTGGAGAAGCTGTACAATGATTGCTTAGATCGAGTCAGCGAATACAAACATAAAAATCAGCAAGTAAAGCTCATCGAGGGCAGACGGCACCTTATAGAAGAAGGACGAGACAGCCCCGGCGACGGCAATAAAACGATGTTTCAAGAGGAAGAGGCTGCTGCATCACAACCAGATGCACCGCCAGTAGCTCAACAAAATGTCCCGGAAAGTGTCAACTTGATACCGGTGTCTTCGGACAAGCTCACTGGCCGTGTGCATATGGAGCCAGGAACCCCTGCCACCATCAAGGCGTCCGACAAAGCGAAGCTCATGGGCTGGACGATCCGAGATTCGTCCGATGGTGACAATATCGACTTGACCCCAGCAGTGAACGAAGAGGGCGCAACTTTGGGGTCGGTTCTTGATTCCGCAATTTCTCAGTACAAACAAATTGTTGGTTTGAATGCTCAAGATCATCGATTGATCAATTGGCACGTCGCCAACTTAGAGTACAGTAATGCAACAAGCCTGCACAACCTGAGTCTCCCTTTGTGGGACATTGATGCGGGCAATGAGTGGGAGGGAAGCCACACTATGGTCGTCGGTGGTTACCAGAGTGTGGCGCGTGGATTGGCTCAGTGTCCAAGCTCTCTTGATCTAAGAACCAAGTTCCCTGTCAAGAGCATATCTTATCACACAGGCGAGGGCATGGCGTCGGCTGCTATCGAATGTGAGGATGGCTCAGTAGTAGATGCTGATGCTGTCGTTTGCACTATTCCTCTCGGTGTTCTGAAACAGAATAATATCGTGTTTAATCCACCTCTTCCGTCATGGAAGACCGATGTTGTTGAGCGCTTAGGGTTTGGCATCCTGAACAAGGTCGTCTTGGTCTACGAAGAGATCTTCTGGGAGCACGATAGGCACATATTTGGCGTTTTAAGGGAGTCATCAAACCGGCATAGCACGTCACAGAAAGACTATGCCACGAGTCGCGGTCGCTTTTTCCAGTGGTTCAATGTTTCCAACACGACAGGTTTACCTTGTCTTATTGCCCTGATGGCCGGTGAGGCAGGCTTCGAGACGGAGCACTCCAGTAACGACAGCCTCGTGGCTGAGGCAACACAGGTACTCCGCAGCGTTTTTGGAAAAGACGTTCCTTATCCTGTAGAGGCTATGGTAACTCGATGGGGCTCGGATCGGTTTGCTCGAGGTAGCTATTCTTCTGCCGCTCCCGGCATGCAACCTGAAGACTACGATACTATGGCAAGGCCTGTTGGAAACCTTTTCTTCGCAGGTGAACATACCATCGGCACGCATCCGGCCACAGTACATGGCGCCTACTTGTCTGGCTTGAGAGCAGCTTCAGAAGTGCTGGAGACTTTGATAGGGCCTGTTGAAGTCCCAACCCCATTGATTCTGCCGAGGGATTCCATACTGCTGCGCAAGCGTAAGGAGCCTGCCAGGGACCCAAAGCCAGCACGATTGCAGGCCTATGAGCAGGAGATACAAGCTCACACTCTAGCAAAACTAGGCGAACGACCCTCTCGTCCAGCTAAGGTGGCCGGTAATCCATACATTCTTTACAGCAAAGACTTATTCGATGTTGCGAGAAAGAAGTGCGAAGAGAACCGAAAGCCTGGGAGAGGTGGCCGTGCTGTACCTAATGAGGTTCGCATAATGACATCCAAGATGTGGAAGGAGGCCACACCTGAGGAGCGCAAGCCATATGAGGATCAGGCAACCGAATTGAAGCGAGGGTACGCTGAAGCTGTACAAGCCTGGAACCAAGCCACTGAGAGATGGGATCAGGAGGCTGCCGCTTTGAGGGCAGCTTACGAGAAAGAGAATCCTTTTGACGCTTCCAAAACGCAAATGGGAGATATGCCTCGGGATACATCATACAAGCACCGTCGGACAAGAAATATCAGTTATGCGGAGGATGGCGATAGTGATGTTGGGTTCTGATATTTTCATTTGCGCAATGCATAACCTTTCAGCTGGGTGTTTCATGGGTGCTTCATTGGTGCATGGCTTTACTACTATATTATCGTTCAGTCTTCGTTCTGGCGTCTTGTCGTTCTTGAAGTCATGCTGCTTATCTAGGTAGCTATATTATTGGGTGTCGGCGTTTGCGCATCTCGGCGTTTCATCTGACGTTAAATTAATTCACAGCATAATTTACTTTTTAAGCTGAGTGTTACTCGTCGCGCTCTCCAGCGTCATTACTTGTTCTCTTTTTTAGATTGCCATGCATGTTTTTACTGTATGGGCTACTAAGGAATTTATTGAAAGCTTTGATACAATGGGGGAAACCATGCATGGTGACCCGTTGGCATTTGTTACAAAGGGAAGCATTACACCCCGGCTTGTACTCCCACTCCTTACATGTCCGCAGAGGCAGTAGCACCAGTGATAATCTCAACCAGCTCTCCGGTAATGACAGCCTGTCGGGTACGGTTGAAGAGAATCTGGTACTTGTTGATCATCTCACCAGCGTTCTTGGAAGCGTTCTGCGGGAATTATCAGTACTGGTCAACGTAGTTAAATCTTCCATTGTTATACTTACATCCATAGCGTTTCGTCGGGCGGACTGCTCGCAGGCGTGGCCCTCGGCAAGAGCCCAGTAGAGAGAGTTGGCAAGACCGTACTCTCGGAGGTTGCCAAGAACCTCATCGTCGACCTCGAAAGCGGAGAAGTTGGCTAAAAATCGAAAATTAGAAGCCATCTCGATAACGTCATATCCGGGATAACTCACGGGACTGCTGGATAGCCTCCTCAGAAAATGCCTCAATCATGTTAGGCTCGTAGGTCTGGGCGTTGACGAAGCTGTTGTACAGGATCTTGATGTCGGTGTACTCAGTAGGGAGCTGGATGACCTGGTCGGCGATAGCCTGGGCGTCGGCGAAGGTGGGAACGCCCTTTCCAATACCAGAGAAGCTGAGCTGGATGGCCTTGGGGTTGGATCGGGAGAGCTGGGCCTTGGCCTTCTCGCCGATGAGGACGAGGTCGAAGCCAGGCTCCTTAGCATGGAGTCGGCGGACGTATCGGGACAGACCAGAGTGAATACCACCGCAAAGACCCTTGTCGGAAGAGCAGACGATGATGAGGGTCTTCTTATCCTCGGTCTCGAGAGCCTTAGTCTCAGCAGACTCGTAAACCTCGTTGGAGGTCTGTCCGTACTTGCGGGAGTCGTTCATGGCGCGCTGAGCTCGGGTGAGCTTGGTGGAGGCGACAATCTTCATGGTGTTTGTGATCTTCTCGATGTTTCGGATGGACTTGAGACGGTCCTCGATCTCACGGAGAGTCGCATAGGTGGCAGCGGAGCTGGGGACAGCGGTGGCCCTGGAAGCGCAAAAAAGGACGTCATCAGCATTTTCCTTCTCTTTTTTGTTGTCTATTTTTTCTCGGCAATGATCGATTATTCCCTCGGAGCACTCAATTGCATATTTGAATAGTACGTTGATCGATAGCGGGCGTACGGGTTGTTGTCGTTGTGGCCGACTGTCGGGGCTGAAGAGCTCATCCCATCCGGCAAACAAATTCTTGATGTTCCCGAGACCCGGAACAGCCACTAAGATACTCCAAGGGGAGGAAGTGATGAGGGGAGAAACTTACCGAGCGTTAGCTGCGGCGGCAGCTCGGAGAGCTGGTCTGGCGGCTCGCGACAACATCGTGACTGAGGATTGGGGACGTAGAGAAAGAGCCTCTGCCAACGGTGGCCCAATTGATCGCGATATACGAATCAATTGATGGAGATGGGGGTCGTGAAAGGTCGGAATGAGGTGTATTGGTTGCTGCGGACTAAAGTGTTCAGGTTTGTTCTCGCTATTTTCCCGGGTAAATTAGGTAGCCGACCGGAACTTCTAGGCGCTTGACACACTCACTGCAAGTCAAGCTACTAATCTGTCTGGGCTGCCAACTTTAGTGATTTCACGTGACCCTTTGCTCTTGACTCCCCGCTTCTATTGTCTTGCTGCATGCATGACTAAGGCAAGCAAAGCTCTTAGGCTCCAGTTTTCATCCTCTCGCAGCCATCACCCATTCATCCAATCACACCCAAAGTTCCTCTTCTAGCTCCGTCGCTGAGTCGCTGCAACTGCTGCGTAACGAAGGCCTGAACCACTGAGAGCAAGCCCTGTAGTGCCCACCTCACTCACTGCTGTGCCTGTCTGCCACTGCCTTGCCTGGGTTCTGCAGCTAGGTTCTCTCGCCTCGCCTTCCTTCCCCCGTCGCCGGGTCCGGGCCATTTGTCTTGGCTCAAAGAAACAAGCACGCTGCTCTCTTGACTTATTCCTCTCAATTCCATTGTTGCTGATTTTCTTCATTCAACTTCTTGCGAATCCTTCAAAATACACCCTCATCTCCTACACAAGGCGTTGAGGGGATCCTTTCCTCGCGCTTTCTCTTCAGATATCTCGTTTTTCCATCTTCTACAGAGACCTGCTCTTTCTTCTCCAACGTTCTCACTTTTTAGATCCCAGTCCCTGACCTCATCGCACGTTGGTAGACGGCCAGCCGCAGAACGGATACTCGCTTTCAACCGCACAACAATGAGTTCCGACGACGATCTCCCTCTTGCGAAGGCGAACGGCCATCGACGTAAGTCGCGACCTTTTTTACTGTTCTCTTGCCGCTTTGGTGGTGCTCTTTCGCGCTCATGAGTGCCCATCACGTCGGCATTCAAAACAAAGTTTCTCCCCATTCACTACCTGCCGTTTCCACCACGGCGCACCTTTTTTTTAGTTTTAATCCGTGTTCTAACAAAGCCCTTTCCTTCTAGTTTCAGCTTCAAAGATTTCACGCGCCGAGGACAATGCCGTCGATCAGCCAGTTCCCAAGGAAGCTGCCAAAATGGCTGGACTATCCGTTCGCAACGGTCCCCTAGAAGACACTTCGATGGATATTGATGAGCCAGCTACCAATGGTACATCCAAACGCAAATCACGTAATTCTATCACTCAGGTCAACTACAAGGACGAGGAGTCAAGCGATGATGATGCCCCAATGGTCAGTATTTCATGATACGAGAAAAACCTTGCTGTGGGGCCAGCTCTTGCTGACCATGATATTGTAGGCCAAACGTCAGAAGAAGCAGACAAAGAGAGTTGCCGAATCCGATTCCGATGACGAGCCAATCATGAAGGCACGAGGAAAGAAGCTTCCGCCGTCTTACAAGGAGACCGCACTCCCCGAGTCCTCAGACGACGACGACGACGTGCCTCTTGGTGTTAAGCTCGCACAGAAGAAGGCCGCTATCGAGAAAGAAGGAGAGAAGCAAGCCAAGGCGATTCGAGCCAAGGAACGAGCCAAGAAGCCTGCGCCAAAGAAGGCTGTAAAGGAAGAATCCGATGACGACGCGCCCCTTGCGAAATCCACCGTGAGTAAACGGAAGTCAAACGGAACTGCTGCGAAGCGAAAGTCAAATGGCGTTAAGAAGGAAGAGTCAGACTCTGATGCTCCTATCTCCAAGAAGGCGAAGCCTGCTGCTGCCAAAAAGGGCGCGAAGGCAGAATCCAAGAAGGCCAGTGAATCCGATGGCGAAGAAGAATTTGAGTGGTGGAACGCGCCCAAGAAGGAAGACGATTCTATCAAGTGGACCACATTGGAGCACAACGGTGTTTTATTCCCACCTGACTACGAGCCATTGCCAAAGAACGTCAAGATGCTCTACGACGGCCAGCCAGTCAATCTTGCACCTGAGGTTGAAGAAGTTACCACTTTCTGGGTTGCCATGATGACACCCGCGTCCTCTCATCACCTCGACAACCCAGTTTTCCGGAACAACTTCTTCAAAGACTTCAAAGAATATTGCGACAAGTACGGCGTGACAGATACGCAAGGGAAGAAAGTTTCAATCAAGTCGCTTGATAAATGCGACTTTTCCAAGATCTACGATTACTGGTCCCAGAAGGTTGAACAGAACAAATCCAAGAACTTGACCAAAGAGGAGAGGGAGGCTGCCAAGGCCAAGAAGGACGCTCTCGAGGCCCCCTTTACTCACTGCATGTGGGATGGTAGAAAGGAGAAGGTTGGCAACTTCAGGGTCGAACCTCCGAGTCTGTTCCGCGGTCGTGGTGAACACCCTAAGACTGGCAAAGTCAAACAACGTGTCCAACCAGAGCAGATTACTATCAACATCGGCAAGGGCGCCAAGGTCCCAGAACCTCCCAAGGGTCACCAGTGGAAGGCTGTGCAGCACGACCAAAAGGCAACCTGGCTGGCCATGTGGCAAGAGAATATTAACGGGAACTACAAGTATGTGATGCTTGGAGCGGATAGTGCTATCAAGGGTCAGAGTGATTTCAAGAAGTTTGAGAAGGCCCGAGAACTCAAGAAGCACATTGACAGGATTCGCAAGGATTACACCAAGGAGCTCAAGAGCGAAGTGATGGCTGATCGTCAGCGAGCCACTGCCATGTATTTTATCGACAGATTGGCTCTCCGAGCTGGTAATGAGAAGGATACAGACAACGAGGCAGACACTGTGGGCTGCTGCTCTCTCAAGTATGAGCATATCACACTGGAACCTCCCAACAAGGTCACATTCGATTTCCTTGGAAAGGACAGTATTCCCTACAGAGAGACTACTGTTGTCGATCACCAGGTTTTCAAGAATCTGAGAATCTTCAAGAAGTCACCCAAGACAACGGGAGACGACCTCTTTGACCGCCTCAACGTAAGTGTTTACATTTTTCAAGCAAGTTGTTGACTAACAAAATTGCAGACCTCTCAACTTAACAAGCACTTGAACAACTACATGAAGGGTCTGACTGCCAAGGTTTTCCGTACCTACAACGCTTCCTTCACAATGTCGACACTGCTCAACAAGCTTGGCAGTGACCCTCGCTCTCGCGGTACGGTTGCCGAGAAGGTGAAGCTGTACAACGATTGCAACCGTGAAGTTGCTATTCTGTGTAACCACAAGCGAACCGTTGGCGCCTCTCACGAGCAACAAATGGCCAAGCTAGGTGACAGGGTAAGCTCGACGTGCATTCTGTGTTATGTGCTACGACATACTGATTATCTCCCAGATTAAAGGCCTCCGATACCAGCAATGGCGAACAAAAATGATGATCCTGGATGTTGATTCAACTTACAAGAAGAAGAAGGGCGCTGCCTGGTTCGAGAAGGACGAGGAGTTGACGGATGAGTGGATCAAAGAGCACCAGCAGTTCTTGCTCGAGGAGCAGCGCACCAAGATTCAGAAGAAGTTCGAGAAGGACAATGAAAAGCGCGTCGCCGACAAGGAAAAGCCTCTGCCAGAGAAAGAGCTTAAGGAGCGACTTCAGGCTGTGAAGGAAATGGAGGCCAAGTTCAAGAAGGAGAACAAGACCAAGAAGGTCGAGGCCGAGGGCAGGGGCGTTACCGTCGATAAGCTTCTGAAGGCCGTGGACAAGTTCGACGAGCGTATCAAGACGCTTGAGCTCCAGGCACAGGATCGTGACGGTAATAAGGAGGTAGCTCTCGGCACCTCCAAGATCGTAAGTTTTACTGGGAAACCTATCAACTGCGTTGCGAGTTACTAACCATCGATAACAGAATTATATTGATCCTCGTCTCACTGTCGTTTTCTCCAAGAAGTTCGATGTTCCTATCGAAAAGTTCTTCTCCAAGACCCTCCGAGACAAGTTCCGATGGGCCATCAAGTCTGTTGAAGACGAAGACGATTGGACCTTTTGAGGAAAGATGAGAAGGGCTGGCGTACAAAAGAGAAAAGCGGGTGGCTTTTGTTTCTTTGCTTTTGCTTTTGCTTTTACTTTACTAATTTGGTATTTTTCTGGAATCTTTGTAAGACTACTCATCATGTGCTTTTCAACATGATCACGGAGGAAGAGGGAGGAGGTGAGAGGTCGATGAGCACATACACAAGCGCGAGTTCATCATGCAGTACATGTGCTTACGAGGCAGGGCCAAACGAAACGGCCAGAGCAACGAACTATCAGGCGCTGAGATGGGACAACTGGAGCATCTGGGTTTGGGGGATTCTGGCGGCAGAGAGTTTGGTTCTTTAGACACATATATAGAAGAAACACTAGGCGTATCTCAAGAGCCTGAGCGAATGAGATACATTCAGATATTATTATCTCGGCGTCAGTAACGTAGCTGAAGTCATAGCTGACAATTCAATTATACATTCAGCCATGTGCCAACGTATCAATGCATCATTCTCTGAATTGCAAGCTCAGCTAACTTTTCTTGTACAGTACAATCAATATATCTAATCAGTGACTTCTTCCAAAGGAATGAAATCTCAATGAGTCGGGTCAATGGATCGACGAACTGAATCGGTGAAAATATATGTTGCTTGATTATACACTGTTGCCGGTCTATCTATGGTTGTATCTATCTATTCGTGCATCCTCTTTATGAGCCAAGTCCATTACGCCGTCGCTGAAAACAAATAAATCCAGAAATCAAAAATACCCGCCCACGCAGGTGCAAATGCTATATGCCAGTTTATGCAGCAGCAACGCCGACCGACCGTGTCATGCAAATCAGGTATCACATCCAATCTTGGTCATATCCAGAAGACCTCGCATGCCCAACAATGAATGGTACAGGGGCTCGGCCCGCGATATATGTCGAATCATCATATACAGTGAAGGTGTGAAGGGGGAGGTTCTTGTTCACATGAACCTGCCGGCAAAAGCCATAACGCCGGCGAAGAAGGGTACAACAGCGATGACGTTGTGGAAGGGCTGAGGGGAGCTCATGGCGCTGTTCTCAGCAGGGATGATCTTTCCCTTGGCGTTGAGACGCCATCCTTCAGGGATCGCACCGCCAGAAGGGCGAGAGCCGGTCCAAGGCCATCCGGTCTGGGTGGCTGTGGCGGGACTTCCATCCCGTCCGATACCTCCAACGGGAACATTTGCGTCCTGAGTAGCAACAGTTCCCTGGGCAGTGGCGGTAACAGTCACGGCCTCGCCGTTCTCATTGCCGTTGACCTCTCCACCAATAGCCTCAATGGATTGCCATGAGCCAGATGTATCCTTGTACTTGTACTCATCACCAGTGGAATAGTCAGTGATGACAACGCTCTTGACATGCATGGTGAAGGGACCCTTGGAGTAGTCTGTTGGTCCACGAGCCCATTTGACGGTACCAGAAGGGTTTGTGTTGGGATCACCACCGGCCCAAGAGCCGAACTTGACCTGCATTGGAGTCTGGGGGTATTGGTTGTCGGCTGCGTCTCCAGCGTTGAGGGTGCGGACGACGGTGCCGCCAACCATCCAGACAATGCGATCCTTGTTCCAGTCGATAGTATAAGTGTTCCATTCACCCTGTGTGTTGGTGACTTTGTGGAACTCGCCGCGGTTGTACGAAGTGGTTTGGCCCTTTCCAAAGTAGTTGGACTGAATCTCGTCGTTATCGGAGCCAAGCCACTCAATGTCGATCTCGTCAAGCACATCGGACTGGAGAACGAGGGAAGAGACGATACCAGCGCCAGGAGCAGCCTTCATTGTGATCTCGACTCGACCGAACATGATGTAGAAGAGGGAAGCGAGTTGAGGCGCATCGTTGGCGCGGGCAACGGTGAAGGAGACGCCCTCATCGTCGTACTTGGGAGAACCGGAGGCTGCGAAGGAGTTGACTTCGCCTTTGTTGAAGTCGATGTCGATACTCATGCCTAGCGCATCGTTGTTTGGGCAGCTGTCTATAGAGGTGTTAGCAGTCTGAGAGTATTGGCATATAGATTGTTGGTGAACTTACTGCTATGTAAGGGATTGCATGAACTCCATGTCTGGGCTGAGACAGAACTAACAAGCAGCGCAGTGGCTGCGAATGAGGCATTGGATAACCATCTCATGATGGGCTATATGTGATATGATATGATATATACGGCGAGTCGGTGGATGGATAGATAGTCGTTGATATAAGCAAGCAGTAGTATTTTACTTATATCAATGTATTGTTAAGGAGTCGAGCGAGACTCGACGGTGTAAGGTAGCAGTAACACGAGAAGCGGTGACTCGAGACTTAAAGTGGTTGCATGTGAAAGAATTGGGGAACGGAAAGACGAAGACGGGGGGAGGAAAGCAGAATAAAACGGTGAAGGGAAAGAAATATCCGTACCAAGCCTCGACACGTCACGTCACGCCCAACTATCGTCACCGTCTAAAGACGTTGGCAGGTTTCCGGTTTTTTTTTTTTAGTAATTTAGTTAACTTGGCGCCCAAAATGAGGGGAGGTTGGGAACATGAAGCTTTTCTTGGTACGAAGGACGTCCGTGGGTTGGAGGTTGGTAACCACGGTAATTCGGGTGGCTGGCGGTCTAGTCAGGTACGGATAGCGGTGACAATAATATCGATACACTGTAGATGGGTTTATGACTATCTGTCTACAGCATATTGGTGGAATACGATGGGAGTTATGGAAGAACATGGCAAAGTACACACAGGCTAATACCCTTCGTGCAGGGTTTACACATCAATTTTGTGGCATACTTTCACTAGATCAACACACCTCGTTGGAGAGTCTATCCGGTCATGACAGACTTTATTGTCAACTGATCGTACCGGTTACGGCCCGTGTGGGGCCGTGACTCTTCATCGGAACACCGTTGCCGGTCGGCTACCCTATACCTCGATATTGATTCAACCACGATGGGTAGTAAACTACAACTGCTACACAAATCAAGCGATATGAGTCTACTTGAGTCTGGAGTTGTTCTCTTCGGCCTCGATATATGTGTAGTGTTAAGACTACAGTCACATGTAGGGTCCCTTCGTTGCTTGTATGTATCATGCTTGCGAAACCACCAAATATCAACATCACGATAGCATATTTCAGCTTCACCCCAGTTCACTTCTCTGTTCATGACACGAAAAGGAGCAAACCATCCGAAGGGAATTCAATGTTATCGCCCATTCCCGACCTCTGACCTCACACAAGTACCGGAAACTATCCAGTTCCAACTGCTGAAGGGTCGACCGTTGCATGAATCTCGATCCTCGCAATGGCATGCTTGAGACATCCCTTACTTGAGATCCATATGCACGTCACTCAATCAAGATCGATCTTGGTCCATCTACATACATACGGTACTGGTATGTTGGGGTTAGGTCTACTGGTCTAAGACACTCTTTCGAAACCGTCACCCTTGCATAACTCTATATCTCTAGAATTCTCAGCCGGGCGTTTTACAGTACACGTGTAGACCATGTCTAGCATCGTTCAGCCCTTGCTTCAAGAGTCTGACATCAGCCGCATAAGCCTTCATGCCAGACTCCCCTCTATGATTGCTGGAATGGGAACAAATCACTCATCTCATACACGCATGTCGGACAAGTATACCCTATACTCGCAACAACCGCGATTGGAGACATTTGCACGGCAGGCAAACAAGCAAGAAACAAAACTACGCAATCGCAACAAAGGAATAAGATATTCCGTAGGATATGTCGGAAAAGAGACAAGAAAAAAAAAAGTGATCGCTCAAAGCCGAGACTAAGCATCCACTATGGCGAGAAGAAGAAGAAGCAATGAATTACAATACTGTACAATACACAAGAAAGAAAAAGAAAAGAAGCTTCATGGTAGTGCCACTCTTCAAGCATTTTTGACCGCTCAAAGATGATCAATCCCAAGTAGCGGACTAGATACAGCACTGGATGTATAATATGCAGTCCATTATGCGTCTGCTATGGATCCCTCATGACAGCATCAAACCGACTTTTGCCCTCCTCGCATTTGACTTGGTCACTGCAGACGCAGATGCAGATGCAGGCCCCAAATCTGATTCAAGGCGTGCCAGTAGTCAATGCACCCAATCGGAATCTCCAGAACTGCAGCGAAACCCTTTGAAAAAAAACTCTATCATCCCTCACATGCTGGCTGACCGTATGTTACTGAGAGAGGCGACAAACCGTCGGTCTAAAGGCATAACTTCGGGCAGCTGCCGTTCCTAGGATAGACACAGCAGTAGGGCATGAGCCATGCTGCCCTGAGGCCATTCGGAAGTCTTGCTATCCTCTACCGCTTGTCTTGTTCAACTGACAGTGCCACTTAGTTACTGACAGTTAATTCTCCACCTCCATCGTCTGAAGTTCTGGAACCTCGAGTGCCCTAACCCCACAAAGACCTTTCTCTGATGTAGTGTAGGTCTGGTCTATAGATAGTACAAAGTATGATACAAAACCGCTTGGCTGAGTACTGTATCATGATCTGTATATGTAGGTCCATGTATATATGAAGGAGAATTTGGGATCCGCAGTAACCATGCACTGAACTCAGAGACCCCTCTCACCTGAAGCCGGACGGACGAGCAACTCAAATCAAATCAAATCTAATCTGCTGAGACTTGGATTCAACCTCTTGACGTCAAACACTGATACAGTGTAACGGGTTTCAGATAAACTATCCACTTGGATATCTCAAACGTCTTTTTCGTAAACTTTTGATTGGCTCGATCGTTTCATCTTCAGCTGTACTGTACAGTACAGTACAGTACAGTAAAGACCACATCTCGGATGAAATGTCTAAGCCTCGCGTCTTGTATCACGTTACGTTGCTTGTACCGGTAGCTGAATGGGACATGATACGTCGTCTCTTAAGAATCCTCTTGTTGGCCCTCACATGCCCCATCAGACGTGTAGTCTGCATAACAGTAACCAAGAAGAGCAGCCAAGGAAAGAAAAGGACCAAAGTCCTTGCATATGTAAAGTCCAGTACAGTAGAATGTCATGAATCATAACACGTCTTTTTTTTTTTATATGATATGTTATCAACTGAACTTGAGCAAAGTCGAATCAGCAAAAAGAAAAGAAATGCTGAAAAGGGTTTAGGGGAAGGAAAATATCACAAAAATGTGAAGGATGCAATGTAATAAAAAAGCAAAGTCAAGCAAGCAAACAGCACATGTGAAAAGAGGCAACATGACAATCAGCCTAATCAAGAGGCAAACTGACAAACAGACAAACAGATTGATTTGTCCAGTTTGTTGCTGCAGCCATAACTGAGTCCCCATCCAACCAACGGTGAAGCAATCAGTATCAGTATCAGTGTGTGGGGGTTTAATGGCAGGTCATAATTATATAGACTTTTATGCCGAAATGAATGACACACCGTCTGAGAATCAATCTGTCAGTTTTGTCAGTTTTGGCCAATGTCCTGGTCCCATGTCCATGTTTGTTCGCTCTCAGACTCAAACTTTGCGGACCGCGCCTCGTCTCGCATCGTCTCGCATAGCATATACCAGGGCTGGTCCGGAGCTCCCGTGCCCATCAATAGAATAGAATAGCCATAGAGAGTCAGGCCAAACAAGCAAGCGATAGCATAATGGAGATAGATAGACAGGCGAATGTCAGTATCCGTATGTACGTAACAATGCCGAGGCATGTCAGGTCGTGACCGCCTGCAAGTCATCATGCCATTTTTCACCTCTTTCGGTCTTCGCCAGACTGGATTGAATTGCACCGTCGTATCGAGCATCCGCTTCGTCTCATAGGTGCTGTAGGCATTGACTGCTTCCAAAAAGGACCCATACTACACTGTACAGTATCCGTACCGTTCCGTTCCATTGCTGGGTATGGATGGGTATGACATGAACGCATAGACGCATAATGGTACAGAGTTCCAATGCTTGTCTAGGTTGTTTGCCAGGGGTGGCTCGGGACGGTAGGCAATCGATATCCATCCTTCCCACTCCAGGTACACCCGAACCTGAGACATTGTCTATTGTAAGTATGTACTCTTACAGTTGTGCGGTGAAGACAAGAGAAGAGAACTCTTCTGTCCGTACGGATACCTTGTTGTCGCTTTTCTCACCCTCATGGCTCATGGCTCACGGACCATATAACCCATGGTACTCTGTCCTAGTCTGTACAGGCCAGTCAGTACTGTACTGTAGCAACTGGTGAGATAATTTCTTTTTTCCTTCCAATCGTCGGTAGTTGTCACATGGGGCTCAATACCGAGGGAACTGCTTTGTATCCTTACCTACTGCACTGCACTGTAAATCTCTGCAACCCATCATTGTTGCAACCGAGTTGGGTCTGCAGTCTGTATATCTGTGGTGTTCAGTTATGGACCCTGCAAGAACAAATAAACGGTCAGAGTGAGGCTGTCTATTTGCCTTTGTCAGTCAACAATAAGCAACCATAGTCTAGTACATACATTCATAGAGTCCGAGCAACTTCATGATCGACGAGCATGCATGCTAGCGAATGACAACAGTAAAGTAACAACGCCACCGGTTGTTGTTTGGTTCGCGGGAACTCGAATCAACTGTTTATACCGACACTTTAACGTTTATTGCTCTGGCAAGCCCTGTCGTGCGTGAATAAGCTCGGTTGATATCAGATACAACACTGCAGTCTTGTTAGTATGAAGGGGTACTTACGCACGGAGCTCATGTTCACCATCGATTCCCTAAGGTCTCGAATTCTCCCACGTGGGTGGAAAGCCTCTATTCAATCGGAAGTCAGTGCAAGACCGTGCATTGTCCTCACTTGTCAAGTCTAACAACATGATATATGTTGGTGGTTTCTTCCAACAGCTTGTGGTATCGCTATTCATGCTCGTATCGTATACCCTGTACAGAGTGGCGACGAGCAAACAAGACAAAAGCAACAATCTGCTGTTGTGACTAAACATTCGCATACATACGTACGAGCAGAGACTTTGACTCGCGTGCAGTAAACACACGCAGAGAGCTCTCGATTTCCGCCCAATAGATCGTCAACATGGATGGATTAGCAGCTAGATGGAGCATCATCAACTCGAACCAACCACCACTTCAGATCATAGAGGCATGATCTTGCGCTATACTGGGGCCAATTTGAAACCTTCGAGAAGTTCCAAGGGCAT